CAAAGCTTTTGACAACATTTACAGTTTTAATGCTTATGTTTTCTTTATTTTCTGTGTAGTCATCTCTTGTCAAAAAAATTTCTGGCAGGCCAAGATTGCAAGGCTGTACAAAAGTAACTAGCTACCTCATATGCCCAGGAGGTGGCAAGAAAAAGCCTACTTATGGTTACTTGGAGCCTTGCTTAGTCTAGACTCAATCAAAATTCAGTTCTGATTTACTCCTTTCTCAAGCAGATTTAATTGTAAATGGGTAGCAGGAAAATTATATAATGAACAAAAGTAGGGAAAACATTCTTGACATATAGTAATTATGGGGCAACTTTGAAGCCAAGTTAATCCCTAAATGATGCTCCTTTTTCACTGGTCTGTCAAGCCCAAGGTGGAAGGAGACAAACTGTATTGATTCTGCCAAGTTAACCCCAAAGTCACTGGCCTTTTGCTTTTCTTTTGTTACTTGCATGCAAACAAGTAACTCTATTTTCCACTTCAGCTCTTACTGATTGATAAACTGATATCTTTGATGTGCTCAACTTGATAATGATATGTCTACATCTTTTCTTACTGCAATATATACCATTTCTTAAAGGTAATATAAAGAGTAGTAGACATTAAAAAATAGAAACTTAGAAAAATATGTGAAACGGCCTGTCACAAACTAAATGGCCTAAGTCACATGCTAAATCATTAAAGGCCTCTCTGATTTGTTGGAAGAGATCAATTTAGAATAACATTCCCACACTGTTAACATTCAACACAGTATAACCTAGTCAGAATCTTCCCTGATCACTTATCTCTAGCAATCACTAAGTTACATAAGATATTTTGTTACATAAAGTTACATAAAGTATTTTGGTCAATACTTTCGTTGAGTATATTTTTTCTTTTAATATCAAATATCCTGCTGATTTCTGAACATTCTTTTGAATAGTTTAGGGTGCAAAGACTGAAAATATCATCTGTACAGTCCCTAATCAGAAACACTTTCCAACATTGAGAAAAGCCAATTCAAAATAGAGAAGTTCAAATAATTAATGACAGTAAACCACCCTATTCTTTCCTCATTAACTTTAAGATCTGCTGGTAACTTAACACTATAAAATTTAAAAGTTATCAATATTTGCTATCAAATGTTCATAGACTGCTTGCTACTGAACTTGAAACTTATGGGAGGTCATGGGAGAAATATAAAACATCAGGGCTGATTTTAAAGTTTATGGTTAACTTGGGAGAGACAAGAGAAAAATTATAGAATAATTAATAATTAACTCTGTCTCAGGAGATAGGTTTACAAGTACATTAATTGTTCAAAGATCAAAAGTGGAAGGAATACATTTCCACTGGCTTTGTCATATAAACCTTCTCTGAGAAGCTAAGACTTTGAACTTGTCATGAAGAAAGAAAAGGACTTAGAAAGCAGGCGGCAGTTTTTGACTGGTTGGCCTGAAACCCTCTTGGATGTTTGACATCATTGTGACCTCAGGAGTAGATAAACTGTGGATTTCAATAGTTTAAAATATGATTATTGGGCAATAAAGTAAAGAGGTTAACCAGATGTGGAGAGCCACAGAGTGTTTGCCAGTACTATGAAGAAAGTGCTTCATAATCTGGAAACTATTAACATGTTCGTGAGGTGGATTCTCTAGAACTTGACTTCCAATCTTAAATTTTCTATTTCTTAACTCTGGCCTTTCTATCCCAAATTGAAAAATGATGGGAAAATATTTCTTACCTGCCTCTGAGAAGCAATTTGAGGCTCGAAAGATTATGAACATGTTTTGATAGGTGCAAACCATCAAGAATGTTTTAATTCCTCTTACATTCCTCTGTGGTATTATGACTAAAGGTTGCTCTTGGCAAGCAGTCAACCTTTCAGGCTATCAGGATGTCATTCTGTGGATCGTTTTGTTATACCTTGAGAGAAAAGTACCACAGTGTCTTTCTCTACTACCTGCACGTGGGTGCAGGCAGGCCAAAATGGCTTCCCTTTAGACTTGCAATAAAGAAGCAATTACTTTTGAAGAGCTCTGCCTCCTGTGGTACTGGATGTCATTGTCAACTGTATGGAGTCTTCAGGCCAGCCACATTCCTATCTGTCTTTGCACAAGGTCTGTATCGGGAATGCCTAGATAGGAGCCAGAATGGGAAATGTGCCTGAATGATTTCAGTGAGAACTTAGATTAAGTTACAAACTGCTTCTTGGCAACCCAACAGCCAATTTCTAGTAAGGACTTCCTATTACCTGCCTTCTAGCTATAGAAATATTTGTTTTTGCCTTATATTCTGTAAGCAACCCAAGGTAAGTTGATTCAGGGTGCAAACCAGGTGAAGCATACAATCTGTAAGAGTGTTCAGAGGAAATGGAAATTATATCTCATGACCCTTCTATGATCTTACCATTTGATGCCAAAACTAATTTATATGTTCCTTTATACCTAAAACAGCTTATTTGGATCTGAAATACACACATACACACACACATAAGCACATTTATAAAAACTCAATAACCTATTTGAGTCATTAAACAATTACCTCCCACAAAATCTTATACCGTCTGTGTTTTTCTCCCCCTGTGGTTAAGTTGAATTTAATTGCCCACGATTTTTAATTACATTTTTGAAGTTTTATCTGATCCACATCAGTGAAGCTTTTGTCTTTGGATACAGTCTAATGTCTAAAAAGGGCTTCCCCGGTAGCTCAGATGGTAAAGAAACTGCCCATGATGCAGGAGACCAGGTTCAATCCCTGAGTGGGGAAGATCCCTTGGAGAAGGGAATGACAACCCACTCCAGTATTCTTGCCTGTAGAATTCTATGGACAGAGGAGCCTGGCAGGCTATAGTTCTTGGGGTCACAAGGAATCGGACAAAACAGTGACTAACACAGACACACACACACACACACACAATGTCTAAAAAGGTCTAAAAAGGCAGTATAATAAGTCTGAAGCTATTTTCCCAGATCAGCACTCCCTAGAAGGATGAAGGATTGCATTAGTTGAGTCAGGTATGATGCTGATGGGATCAGGAAGCTACGCAGGATAGAGAACTTCTCATTTAATTTCCCACAAAATGAGGTCAAACCTCTCGGCCCTCCTTAACTAGGGAATTTCCTAGGTTTTCTTCTAGACTAAAAAGTCTAAAGGTCTATGACACCTCCTCCCTACTCACCGATGGAAGTGATAGCCTACCAAGGAAGATGTGTGGAGGTGTTAAGAAAATTTTCCAGGGTCATGGCAGACAAGGAAAAGACTTGTCTTGTCCCATGACTGGTTTCTGATTGTCATCATGCTCACTGATCAGTGAGGACACAAGTCTTGAGAACAATCCAGAATAGGATCTAGTGAGATTTTCATGAAAGAAAGCCTACACGCCATTCCAATATCGTTGCCACGCCTGCCATGAAACTGGACATGTGAAAGACCCAGTCGTTAAAACTTCAGAGTTCTTTGGACTTCCCTGGCTGTCTAGTGGTTAAGACCACACTTTCAGTGCAGTGGATGTGAATTTAATCCCTGGTCAGGGAACTAAGATCCCACATGCCGCAGCCAAAAACAAAAACAAGCAAAAAAGCTAACTACTTCCACAGAGGAGATAAAAAGTTACCTCACCCACAGCTTCAGGGAGCAGCTGTAGGCTCACTGGGACTACAGCAGGATTGTGGAAACAGGCTTGGTTACACCACTGATTATGAAGCTGGATGGTTCCAGAAGACTGTGATGTGAGTCATCCTCCCATCCCGTGAAGTTGGTTGAGTGAAGTGAGTGGGGTGCCGTCTTGCTGCCAAACTGATTCAGATCCCTAGAACCAAACTTCCAGATGAGCCCCTTAAACTCATCAGACTCCAGGGCTTCTCCAAACTGGGTCAATTACACATCTGGAACCATCTCGAGAGGATGGGCTCTGGGACATTGCTGTAGTCTGCACTCATCCCACCCCCAACCAAGACCATAGTCTTCCAATTTCATAGTGTATTGAACTGTTGAAAGCAAGGCATTTGTTCCCAGGGCAATTCGGTGGGTGATTTTTTGATGATTTTTGTTAAACCACCTTGACACGCATGTTTGCAAAACGATGACTAGAATTCCCAGAAAGTGGACTTGCTTTTGCAGCCTGTTCCTTCCACTGACTTCAAGTAGGAATACAGACACTTTTATCATCTTATCTTGGCTTCTAACTGCTGGCTGAAGTCCAGAGAATTATAAACTGAGGAAGCTAGAATGGTTTGCCGGCAAGCAGGAGTGAAAGGTTTTTCAGTTTGGTGTAGTTTGAGTCACAGCTTACATTTACTGAATAGTAATAATTATTACAGTTATAATAATAATTAGAAAAGAGTTCAGAAAAGTTTCTAAAATCTAACCTCCCAGCTAGGGACTTCCCTGCAGGCTCAGACTCTGTGCTCCCAATGCAGGGTTGCGGTTGGATCCCTGGTCAGGGAACAGAGATACCACATGTCCGTCCCCCCACCCTCCTGGCCCGGGACAGAGCCAAATTAATTTAAAAAAAAGAAAGAAAAACAAAACAAAAACAACCCCCTTCTTCCCAAAGAACCCTTCCAGTGGCTTACTTTGCGCCTAGTCTTTCTGTTAAGATGAAGACGAGGGGCATCTCTGAAAAGACACCTGTCACCCAGGAGAAGCTGGCTTTCGCTAGCCCTGGCTGGCCCGGGTGGACAGAATCTCCGCAGGATTGCTTCCTACTTCCAGCTCAAGCAGCATCCAGCCAGCGCTGGGCGACCTAACAGATCCTCGGCGAGCTGCTCCTCCCAACCAGCCGCCTCAAACCCCGCTCCTCCAGTCCCCCTCCACCCGGCCCCCTCTCCCCGCCCCCCCTTAGATCAGGGAATTTCCCAAGCATCCTAAAGATTGAGTTTCCTGCCTGGGGGAAGGGGCCAGGGCAGATAAAAGGGATGCTGAAGACCCGAGGCAGTCACCAGCGCTCTGGAGCGTCGAATCCCGCGCCTTCTGCCTCCTTCGGAACCCTCTGCAGGCCTCCCTTCTCCACTATGAGACTGCTCTCCAGCCGCGCCGCCCGCCTTCCCGGCCCCTCGGGCTCCTTGTGCGCGCTGCTGGCGCTGCTGCTGCTGACGCCGCCCGGGCCCCTCGCCAGCGGTGAGAGCACCAGACCAGCCGAGCGCGCCCGGCGGGTGGAGCGGAGCGGCGTCCCGGGCGGGCGGGCTGGGGAAGCGCTCCCCCAGCAACCTGCCCTATAACGGTGTCTCTCCTACCCCAGCCGGTCCTGTCGCGGCCGTTGTGAGAGAGCTGCGTTGTGTGTGCTTAACCACCACACCGGGAATTCATCCCAAAATGGTCAGTGATCTGCAGGTGATGGCCGCGGGACCGCAGTGCTCCAAGGTGGAAGTGGTGTAAGTCCTGGGGCGCGGCGCTGTCCACCCTGACCTTGGCAAGAGGGAAGGTTTCCCCCCACCCCACCCCACCCCCGCCTTAGTCTTCAGCCCCCACGTTCCTGAGCGCATCCTCATGTTCTCTCTGCAGAGCCACCTTGAAGAATGGAAGGGAAGTCTGTCTGGACCCAGAAGCTCCTTTGATCAAGAAGATCGTCCAGAAAATATTGGACAGGTATCTGTCACTTTGCTCTTTCTGGTTTCTTAATCTCTCTTGGAGTGTGGATTTCTCAAAGTCCTTATACTCTGTCTGAGATTTGGCGACCACATTGCAGACCATGTTTAAAGTAAAAAGGATGTTCCGGAGAAGAAGGGAAAGTTGTTCTTGAAAGTCCTGGGAAAACTCTTATCATGAATCTCAACATGAGTTGCCTAAGAGGTTGCACAGAACTCATTACTGAGATGTATTTGTTTGTTAAGGACTCTACCCTCTGCTTTTTACTGATCCTAAACCCTGTTTTGAAAACAAGTTGGGGTAGACAGGTCTGTGGAAATTTGGTTAAACTGATATAATTCTTTTTTCAACAGTGGAAAGAACAATTAAAAGAAAGAACCATGGATTGGAAAAATTGCCCAGTTCTTCAGCAGAATTTTCTGGGGACCTCTGGACCCAGTGAAGAAAAGGAGCAAGGGCTCATTTTCTCCAATGAGTTAGGTTTCTGTACAAATTCCCCACTGTGAAAGAGAGAAAGGAAGAGGGAATCTATACTTGTCCTTGCAGCTTTCTGCTCAGTTTATGTCCTGTTTAGCATAGTATTTCCTGCTCCTTTTTGCTGTTATTTTAACTGCTATGCTATTGAAATCTTTAAGAGTGACTAAATTGTGAATCAAGGAATCACTGATTGTTAATCCTTTCAAGGTGACTACTGTTATTTCTAGAATGTAGTTATTATACTGCCATGGGAAAAGCTGTGTTGAGAGTGAATGGAATTTCATTGGAATGCTGTATATGGAGATAAATTGTTATCCTCACTCTCTTATGAAATAGGAACTACCTTAGTATTGTTTTTTGGGGAATATGCTAGAGAATTTTCTTACTCTTGACCCTTGGAAGATATTTAAGTTATACTGCATTAGAAATCTGAGTGTTATACAGTTATCTGTGTAGAATATATTTCCTTATTTAGAATTTCTAAATATATGAGTTCTATAAGGACTAATATATTCTCTTTCTATAAATTTAGACATTTGATGTCTTCCTAGTATGGCATAATGTCATGACTGACTCATTAAACCTTTGATTTTATATGGTATTTATTAGCTATTTTATTAGGAGTATTATATTTCTAGCCACTAAGTATGTATTTTGGATTAATAAAGAAGCTAGGAACTAGGTAAATTCCTTATTTCTAGTTTTTATAGAAATATATCCCTTTAGTTTTAAGAGTAAAGGCAATCTTAACAATGATCTATACTTTGAAAGTTCTGAAAGCATATTCAAGATCTTTGAATATAAACTCATGTAGTTTTTAAAAAATGCACAGTCTTGCTAAAATTTGCAGACACACATACTGTATCTTTTTAAGTGTTTGACCATTTTGTTACAAAGAATTACATATGCATCACAATTACTATGTTAAAATTGTACTTTTTAACTGTATCTTAATGGTTTATAGTGCTTCTTTTGTTCTTTGAAAAAAAAAATAAAAGATTTATAAAATTTACTCAAGTTCATAGTTTATTGTACTGTTACAAAAAATGTCATTTCTCCTTAATCTACATTGCACATGTGCTTGCTAAGCCACTTCAGTCATGTCTGACTTTTTGAGACCCTTTGGACTGCAGCCCGCCAGACTCCTCTGTCCATGGGATTCTCCCGGCAAGAATACTGGAGTGGTTGCCATCCCTTCCTCCTAAGGTTGTACCAACCCAGGGATCAAACCTGCGTCTCCTGTGTCTCCTGCCTTGCAGGTGGATTCTTTACCTGCTAAGCCACTGGGGAAGTTCCCAGTTCCACGTTACCAAATTGTAAAAATTAACCATGCTCCTCTCTGACTAGCAGACAGGATCCTCATTTCCCAATGTCCTTGTGTTAGTTCAACCTATCTCCAAGCTCACTTCCCTTCCAGTTCCTCCTTCAGAGCACCAACAAATTTTGGGCTCTTTAGAAAACACAAATATGTAAGACTTCCTTACCTTAAATCCTTTACTGACTCTCTATTTCCTAAACATGAAATACAAGTTCAAAGCATGACAAATCAGGTTCTGTCTTATGACTCCTGATTACTACTTCAAAGTCATTTTTCCATAGCATAATTGCAGTCAAGAATTTAGTTTTCCTACTGGGCATCTTCCTTCCAGGTCTATGCCTTTGGTAGGACCTCTATCTGGAAAGGCCTTCATATTTTTCTGTCTATGGAAGGAAGCTTATTCACCCTTCAAAGCTCTATTCAAACAATACTTCCTTCATGAAGTTTTCCTTGGAACTACCAGCAGAATTTATGGTTTCCATTTTGATGTTCCCATAGTGTCTTCTAAGTATTTGAATTCACGTCAATAGTCAAAATTGCATTGCTTTTAGTTGCTTAAGAGGATTTTTACCCTCCTCTACTAGAGTTCTCCCGGAGCATCTGCCACATTTCATTCATCTCTATATCTTCAATATCTGATACAGATTGACTTAATTAACTAAGTTATCTTGAAATTCAGGTTGTAGATAGTGTCCTAAAATCAATCACCTGGCTCATTGTACATGCTGAATAAATTATAATTCCTTTACCCTTTTTCCTTTCTTGTCTACATATAATCCAACAAGAGATTTGGTAAGCATAGTCCCTGCAACCTACAGCACAGAACCCTCCCTTTCACCTGACGAACTCCCATCCTTCTTCCAAACGCAGTTTACCTGTCCCTTACGGCCTCTCTGACCCTTCTCTCTCACTAGATTATGTCCTGTCATATGACTGTTCTTTTCCTTCATAACATTTTGTCACCAACATGACTGTAGAACCTAAGGAGACTATGCACATTTGGTCATTTATTTAATGTCTATTCCAACTTCACTGTAAACTTCGTAAGGGGAGGACTATACTTATCATATTCGCTTTTGTTCTTAAGACAGTGACTAACACATAGTAACACATAGGGCTTAAACAGGTTAGTGACCTAAGCAAATCCCACTGTCTTGCTGGTATTGAAATAGCAATTTAACGTAAACAGCTCATTCTGAGGAAAAGCAAAAAAACAAAAGGAGAACAATTAATCCGATTAGTATACATACACACAAACTCCAACTGGATTAACTTGTTATATATGCTTACATTAACATGTATGTACATTTAATAGTGTATACTAATATATTATTAACATACCCATATTTCACCTAAGTAATTCTATATATTTTCATCTCTTTCCACATATATAAAATATCAATTAGATTAACAAATGTTCTATGATTACATATGAATGTATCTATATAATAGACATAGTGTCTGTAAGAGACATGCAGAGATACAAAGATATGATAGCACCTAGAGTAGATTCAAAGAAATGAGTTTGCTGACATTTTTTTATAAAAAAGCACAAAATACCTCAAATTTAAACAAAATTAAACTTCTGTAGTATTTTATTGCTCTCTCAAATAGCATTTTTCCTTTGAACCATGAATTATATTGTTATCCTAAGGAAACACTAAAAACCAAGTTACTATAAAAGTTTGAATTATAAATTTCAGTGTTTTAAACAATCCCTCATTTATTATATCAGCTCCAAAATACTCATTAGGTGCTTGATAATGGCCAATGAAAGTGTTTTAAATGCCTTATGAATGGATAAAACACAAGCTATGTGAAGAAATAAACATTACTAATTACTTCTTTATCACAATTCAAGATCTTTTTTCCCCAGAAGCAAGATTTAAAAGTTTAGTTTGCTTTATAGATCATAGACTAACACCTCACTGCAATATTCTTGAAGTTGTATTTGTTATGGGCATGCCATAACTGGCTGTTCTACAAATAAAATTGATCACAGTGTATTACCAAAGTATAATCTACACAAGAACCTCAGTGACAGCTGCTGCTCATCAACCCTGCTGCTACTATTGATCCTGCCACCAGCAAAATCAAAGACAAAGACAATCAAAGACACTAAGAAAATCAAAAACAACATGTGCACATGCTAAGTCGCTCAGTTGTGTCCAACTCTTTGCGATCCCATGGACAAGAGCCCTCCAGGCTCCTCTGTCCATTGGATTCTCCAGGCAAGAATACTGGAACAGATCCAGGGGAAATCAATCTAATATATGTCTTCTAAGGATATACCTTATATTTTCCTCCAAGTCTCTACATACTGTGTTCACTCTGTTATCCCTCTGAAATTCACTTTCATATATGAAGTCACTGGGAATTGAAAAAATGGTCAGCTAAAATGTACTGTATGTTACTCCCCCAATCCAGACAATTTTCAGTGTACGATCAATGCTCTTCATTCTACCAGATCTTCTTGTTTGCCTTTGGGTGTGTCACATTCACACAATCCTTCAATTCCTGAAGATATGACAAGATCTATGATAAAACATGACTAGTGGTTTAGTTTTTCTATCATAGTTTTAATTCTTGCATAAGGAAAAGAGTTGTTGTGGTTAATTCTCATGTTGTTCATAACCTCTAACTCTTTCCTGGATGTTACAAACTGAGAAATTTACCAGGCAGCAGAAACATCTGGGGATTTCAACTTGCTTCACTGACTAAGTCACGGAAGAGAAGCAGCGCTCATGTCATTCTGATTTTGACTGATGGTCCTTCGTGGCTTTTAGTCAGCAAAAGTAATAATATATCCCTGAGAAGGACTGCTCATACTTCAAATATGTAGAGTGAAATAATGACACAGAAAAAGAGAGTTTAGTTTCAAAACTTTGCTTCTACAAAGCCTATAGATTCCAATTTCTTAAATATTGAGAAATTGGAAGAACATCCCCTACCCTCTGAAAAATCCATTTTCTTGATGTGTTTCCACTACCACATAAATGTATGATGATTATTTCTGACCCACTTCTCAGGTTTGACAAAGAGAAAAATAGTTGATTTGATTCACTCCCAGTAAGAGAGACCAGCGATATTTCTTTGTAGTTTGTGATGAGCAGCAAAGTCAAAACAATTGCATCTCAAGTCTAGTTTGTATTTTTAGCTATGTGACTTTGGCAGTTTATTTAACCTCTGCATCCCTCAGTCTTCTCATCTG